AATTCTTGAAGCCCCTGCAATGCTTGTTCCTTCTACAACCTATTAAAATGTGGGTGCAACCAATTTAGTCACTTTAGTACTTATTTTGGAGATAACATATTCAAAAAGATAGGAGGAATTGTCATTAGTAATAAGAAGCCTCACAGAAAGGCTTACAACTCCCAATCCAAAAGCAGCTACACTTGAGCCCTTTGGTGTTTTGGCAACATTCAGAGTTGCACCAAGGCCTATAAGCATGCGCAACTTAACTAATTAACATATGAATAAAGCCTCTATAGAATTTACCACTGAAGAGAGAATGAGTTAATAATGAGCAAAACTCAAGATAAGTCAAACGCCTACTAACTCTGTTTCAATTCTGGCATCCTACTTTAGAAATTTCTTGGTCTTTTATCAGGTTTCAAATATTAATTCTCGTCCAATTTCCTCCTTTCTATGATATTTGGAGTAAACTGTGATTGTGGTACATCAAATTACTTACGTATCAATATTTTACGGTCAGTAAAATCTGTCTTCATTATTATGAAATCATCATAATAACTATATTTTTTTCTTAAGAAAAAAAATCTTTTAATCATAGAACTATGAATCCTCACGACGTTGTGGGCTGAACTGTCATATTCGCACTTAAAAAAAAGGAAAATATTCAAAAAATTGATTGTACACAAGTAGGGTGAAAAATACCCGAATAAACATTACCATCTTTGACATAAATATTAGTCGCACAAAATCGTCTTTCTCTTTCTCACTAACACTTATCTCCATGTCGTGCCTTTTTGGGAGCATTCTTTCGCTGGCCATTGGGATTCCTTCAACATTTACATCCACATAGATCTACCAAATAGAAGAAGAATCATGAAATTCACTGGAAGTTGAGATTTATGAAACTGTATCTTCCAATGTATTAGAAAAATTTTTGAAACTGTATCTTCCATCCTTCAAAAGTTTTAGTAAGGAATATTATTCAAAGCATAGTAAAGAGAGAATGAAAAAGTATTTTGAAGAACAAACCGCATAAACAATACTCCGTAACTTCGTAGGAGATATAGGAGAAGTAGAGAACATGGAGGTAGATTAGAATTGTTATGCCAATCCCACGTTTGGGAATTATGAAATCGTGGGGTTTAATTTTGGGGTGGTTTATTTTCTTTTTCTGCCTTTTTTTATATATATCCGTGTAAAGAGTAAGACGTATTAAGTATATAAATAAAGTTCAAAATGAAACTTTTGAAATTGGAAAAAAGAAACGTGGTTGAAAGTTTTTTACAATAAGTATAACGGTCATGTTTGAAGTTTTTACCTTTTTAAAAAAAATTCAAAATAAAACTTTTGGAACTGAAATTTCTGACTAATTTGAAGTTTTTACTCTTTTTTTAAAATAAAACAAATTGAAATAACTGTCAGCATTAAATTTTTTATATCTTTTCAAATAAATATTGAAAGAATTCCAACAAAGTTGGAGGATTGTCCAAATAATGTACACATGTCAATTTAGTATTATGCACTTGGCATTATAACCTTTCTTTGCATCTCCTATTATATATTAATAGATTATTCTTATCATTATTATTATTATTTGCAAAATAAATTTATTGGATTTATTGTTGATTTGATAAATTGATGATTGAGGTTTGTTCTTTATGATATTTGGAGGTTATATTTTAAATTTGAGCTTATATGGAGTAGATATAGGTATTCTATCGTGTGTTGAATTGTTAAAATTTGAAGAACAAGTTTCTGTATAATTTTTTTCACTTCAGACTTATTTGGCCTCACCGTTTCTCGATAACGCTGGGCCAAGTAGCGACACTTCACCCAGATTCGATCATAAAGTGCATGAAAATATTTGTTGCACTTCAGACCTATTTGGCCGTAAGTACATCTTAAGTGCAAGTTTTGCACTTTAAATTTAATTGCCCTTAAGTGCGTTGCACTTTAGATTTTCTTCCTCAACTTCAGACCCGATAATTCTGAAATTAATTCTAACAGCTTGTTTGGATGGTTGTTCCCCGTTGTATGGTATTGTATTGCTATTCCAAAACAATGTTTGTTTTGATTGTTTCATTAAAATTGGTTGTATTGTATTGTTAAATTCATTGTTCCGGAACAATGAAAAGTCCTCTTTTTTGAAATAACCGATTTGGTGTGGTGGGATTGTTTCCTATTTTTCTTTTCAATTATGCCCTAACTTATTACTCCACAATTCTATTTTACCCTTTACCTTTTTTTCTATTTTAACTCCAAATCTCCAACCTATAACCTACTTTATCTTTTTCAAGAACTTCTGCCACCAGCGTTAAAGATGTTTTGTTGCCTTTTATTTTTTTTTCTCCTAATTTGCTTTTAACTCAATCCTAATTAGCTGTGATCCTTCATTTTGTCTTCTTCTGTCTCGCTCCTTTGTTCTGCTTTCTTAAGGTGTTTTGCCTTTTTCTTTTTTGTTTTTTTAAATTATTTTTATGCATAAATTTAATATTTAAACAATTGAGGGTATTTTAGTCAACTTATCAGTTACAGTACAGTACGATACAGTTAAACCAAATAATAAAGTATTATTTAACAATAGCAAACAATATAATCTATCCAAATATTGTATTTATAAAACGATACGATACAATACATTATAAAAGGATGAGAAACAATGATCCAAACAGAGTGTAAAGTGGATATGCAAAATGAATATAACTTGATGATAACCCTAAAATTTTAGATATAGGTACAAATGACCCTTAAAGAATGGAAGTGAAAAAGGGACGCAAATGAACTCTCCAATCTCCGATGTGCACATTTGGATCGAGAGAATATCAGTCGAAGTACTGACGTACCATATATTCAGGTGGCCAATAAAGGACAAGCCATGTGTGGCCCAATAGAATGAGCTACCTTCTTTATGGATAGAGATGACAAACGGGTGGGTCGGGTTGGGTCAGATATAAGTTGGTCGAAGCCAACGACCCACTAAGACTAACCTATCTATAACTACATCCCCGAGCGGCAGTCAAACGGGGGCGTGAATGCGAGATGCCAGTGGAATGATCGGCCGGACAGAGGCTAGGGCTGCTTCCTTCCCACCGCGTCCTATGATTAATTGAAAAATGAATAAATTATTCGAGCGAATTCATAGTTAATACAGATAGAAAATGGGTTATTCGGCGGATAAGATGGATATTCATATTATCCATGGCTTCTTGAACATGATCATTCTTGGTAGAACTTCTAGTCTCAAAAACTTGTGGAATCCCCAATTTGAGTCTTTACAAATATAAAAGTTAAATTAATTAGTTCTCCATTGGTTATCTATTTTCTAAGTGGATATTATGGTTATTACCCATATTACACCCGTTCTTAAAAAGATTATTATTCAACCCATTTTTAGTGGATATGAATGGATAACTGTTTTTTTTTTTTAATTCAATTTGCCACCACTATTTATGGATAAGAATATTCGAATTTATAGTTAGTCTACTTCTCTCTTTTTATCCCAAAAAAATAACATAATTATGTGACTTTTTGGGATGATGTTTTTAACTTTTACCCTTACTTATCCTATGAGTAGTATTTTACGGTCAAAAATTAAATGTGTTATCCATGGGTAAGCGAAGGCGTAATACTTATTAAATTTGAAATTCTTCTCATGGAACAACCGAAGATAAAAATTCGAAACCATCCACTTTGTGAGCTATTTGTATTCACCCCTTTTTATCTCTTAGTACAAAATTTGGATTACCTTCTTAAGGTGAAATTATTTCTTCGCCAATATAATATATAGGTCAATTGGTTTTGTGGCTCTTTACAAACTTATTTTTAGTTTTATGATTCTATCTTTTTTTTTTAAAAAAGACATGAGAGATTTACTTTTATACGTAATTGATTTGTATTTTATACATAAGAGATCTAAAAAAAATCATATTCTTCAACTACATTTTACATCCAGAAAATTTTTCATTACAATACTATTTTCTTATGTGTTTCAAATATTTTGAACTTTCAAAAATTGATTGAATCTATCGCAAATCGATTCAGATAATGTGGTTATAAAAAAGGTTGGGTTGACTACTCTTTTTGTTAATATAGTCCTAAAAAATTGAAGCACAACCTAATTCCCAAAAAATATCAAAATCAACAGCATGAATTTTGTACATTTTAACAGGGACCACAACATCAACTTGTCCCCAACAACCTATCTCCTCTATTTTCTTATCATTTAACATGTCCATAAACAATGAATTATGAATTATCAAGTTTGTCATGCAAATAAAATAAAGACAGTTCACATTGGACCTAATCCAGTAACTCTCTGGCGGTGCAGGATAGTTCTATATTATTATATTTTAGAGTAATATTAAATTTGTCTCCGTATAATTTATAGATTACGAATTCGAGTCATAAAACTAGTCAACAATGCTTACATTAGGATAAAATATTTACGTCAAATCCCTTAGAGTGCGGCCCTTTTACAAATCCTGCATGAATAGTGAATGTCTCGTCTCTTGTGCACCGAATTGTCCTTTTTTTATTTTTAGCCAAAAAGAATCTCATTATCATCTTCAAAAAATATTCTTTTATTCTTAGTGGTTTGAAGTATTATTGACAAGATTTATATACTTCAATTAACAAATAAATTATTTGGATGCAAAATCGTTTCAATGCAATAAAATAAAGACATTCTGTCCATTAGTTACAGTAAAATATATAATAATACATTAATTTCTTATAAAAATATTAATTCAATAAATATCTAAATCTTTATACTTTGGTAAGTTGTTTTTTTCCGAGAACACTATGATTTATGTTGCTGAAAGTAATTTCTTTAAATTAATCTTAGCATAAAAGTTGTAAATAAAGGTTAACTATTTTTCAAAGAAATATTTAAGATCATTTTTGACGTTTCAAATATCCTTTTCTTTTTCTTTCTTCATTTGTTATTTTTGGTTTACTTGTCATTTTCCCTTTTGTTATTTTTTTTGTCCCTTTTTAGCTTAATAACATGCAGAAAAGATAAATAATCATTAGAGCACATAAAAGAGAGACACACAATTTATATATAGCGAAAATATTGATTTTCTTACCTTTTAGATTTAGAATTCCTTCCAAAAATTTCTCATCTTTGCCCGCACATACATACATAAATACATACAAGGAAAACCAAAAAAATTAAAATTCCTATGGAAGCTGATGTTTCTAATCTCTCAGCAATCTTGAGAGTGTATCTTTTTTTTTTTTTGGGGTGATATTTCTTGAAAATTGACAAAAGGGGTTGTTGTGAATTTTAGTCTTCTCTTTTGTGAATTTCCTTGAAAATTATTTAAAGGGGTTGTAGGGTTTTGAGATTTGGGAAGTGGGATGGTGAGTTTTTGGGTTTTTTTGTTCTTTAGTTTTGTGTCTTTAATGCCTTCTGGAGCTCTTGGAAGTGTAATTTTGATTGGAAAAAACCTTACTTTGTCTTTTGACGACATTGAAGCTAGTTTTGGTGAGTTGACCTTACTTCCCCCAAGACTTCTCTTATAAATTTTGCATCAGGGTAGGCTGCCTATATTAAGCCCCTTACGTGCGGCCCTTCCCCAGACAACACGGGATACTTTGTGTATCGGGCTGCCCTTTAGTATAATTTGTGGCAGTTGTGTAGTGTAATGGTTGTGTAGTGCTTTTTGAACTAATCATGCTTTGCTTTTTACTCTCCATGTTTGTGTTTGGGGTGGTGGGGAGGGGGGGGGGGCTAGATCATGTTTGTTATTAAAGGCTTTATAGGGGAATAAAAGTATTCATCTTGGAAATTTGATCTGTCATATTTTGTAAGTTTTTATTTTTCAGTTGGAATCTTCAAAGGATCTGTACTTGCATCATGAGAATATGTATGAATGTTGTATTAATAACTTGCATAGCGGAGCTTAGTACACCGGGCTGCCCTTTTGTTGTATTAATAACTTGCATTTAGAGCTGAATATATTTTGTTGTTGATCATGTGTTTGGTTTCTTTGTATTTGACTTATGAAGTTTTTAATGTTGGCTGTATTTCTGTTTTAACTGAAAATGCTAAATGTTGTGATATAGCAAAGGTTTTCTATACTTTTTCTGTTGGCATGATATTTACCGGGCTTCTTTTCTGCTAATGTACGAATTCGACCTGTTTTTAATTTCAGCTCCCTCACCAAAGGGTTCAGGCAAATGTGGAACATTGTATGTGGCAGAGCCTTTGGATGCATGCTCAACCTTGACTAACAAGATTGAACCGATTAATAACTTCACAAAAGATCCATTTGCGCTGATAATTAGGGGTGGATGTAGCTTTGAGGATAAAGTCAGAAAAGCACAAGCTGCAGGTTTTAAAGCAGCCATTATCTATGACAATGAATATGGTGTTATCATTCCAAGTAATGAACTCTTACTCTTACATTTTTTTTAATTCATTCAGTCTGTTCTAAGTTCATTAATTTTGGTCCATCAAGGTAGAAGTAAAATGATTAATTGGGAAGGGAAATAGATTTACAGTTTAAATTGACATTGAACTCGTTACTCCTTGCAGAAGCTAGCTATCCGACGTTATACAATTTTTTATGCAAATTTGCTGCTTTGCCTTTAATCAATTAATGCTCTGAATATGCCATATAAAATGTTGACGAAACTTCGAAACTGTCAATTGATAAACCAAACTACGCTTCATTCCCTAACTAGTTATTCATAAAAACTCGTAGGATGAAAAATAAAAGGGCTATTTGGACATTCCATTTGGTAAGGGATTGATCCATCTGAAGGAAGTTACACAAGATATTTTTGCCATCTCCAATTTGTAACAAAAAATTATTATCCAGCTCTTAAGATCTCTTTTAGTCTTTTATTATGCGATGCAATTGAATTCCAAGTTTTATAATTATTCTATTATGCCCACTGGCATTAGGGTCACTGAGCTGGACTAAATACATGTCTACAACTTTTAGATGATTATGAGGAAAACCAGTTGTGGCAAAACTTGTATGTGACCAAGTAAATACTATTGGATTGAAAAATTAAATGACTTAGAAACATAAAGCTCGAAATCCTTGCCAAGCTTTCTCATGATCGTTATGATGTGTTCATGTTCTGTGATTTGTTTTGAGCCAGCATGTCCCAAAGTGGTACTTCTGAAATGTTCATATCATAGAAGATTATTAGCCCACCCCTTGCCACAAGGAAAATGAAATAGAGAACTCAGAAATCTTTTGTCAAAGACTTCAAAAACCAGTTTCATCTCTTGCTTTGAATGCTTTAAGCTTCTATAATTGTTGATTTTTAACCACCAAAGGTTTAACCAGACACGCAATGCAGTGGCAGGAACCTCTACTGGTGTGAAGATACTCGCAGTGTTCGTTTCAAAAGCTTCTGGAGAAACACTCGCAAAGTATGCTGGTGACACTGATATGGAAGTATGGATAATCCCAAGCTTGGAAAACTCAGCTTGGTCAATCATGGCTACATCGTTCATTTCATTACTTGCTATGTCAGCCGTGCTTGGGATGTGTTTCTTTGTTCGCCGACATCATATACGAAGAGAGCGGCCCCGAGCCTCTCGTGTTCGTGAATTTCATGGGATTAGTAGACGTTTGGTGAAAGCTATGCCAAGTTTGATATTTACATCAGTTGTTGAAGATAATTCTACATCAGTAACATGTGCTATATGCCTCGACGATTATAATGTGGGAGATAAGCTTAGAGTTCTTCCATGCCGGCACAGTAAGTTATCCTCTCTTATAGAGGTTATTTACTTTCGAAGTTGTTCATATTTAGCTCTATTTATTACTAGTGTCGTTGAAGGTAAGGAACGCGCACCATTTCATTAAGGTTTGTTCCTCCATTGGGAGGATACTCATCCTTTTTGAGTTTTGGTGCCATGACAAACTAATCACGAATCATGGTTGATAAGCACTAATATATCCTCTTAAACATGAATCTATGTTAGTGTCATCACTAAGGAAACTTGACTCCTCTCCCGCCGAAATCTTGTGGTAGTATGACTTTACGGAAAATGCGCATCACTTCGTGCCACCCACCTCCACGAGTCCTTACCGCTGAGAGTGGTACTCTGTAAAATTTCCTTCAACCTTTGAAATCCATCCATCTCCCATTCATGTAGATTCCAGACAGTGAAATTCCCCCTCTTTTACCACCCGAATCTGTTGTACTATCGTCTCTTTCTGGCACGAAACTCTAAATAAGTTGGGGAATGTCGTTCTCATATACTCTCTCCGCAGTCCGCACCACGGTTGATCCCAAAAACTGACTATTACTTCCATTCCCTACTGTACAAGTAACTAAGCCGTTGAAATCTTCCTAACCCTTCGTAATACTCCTCTACGTTTCTAGACCTCCATTCCCCTTCCACGACTCCATATTTTCCTGCTATCACCTCCCTTCATAGTTCATAATGTCTGCTCTTCAATCCTGAATCTCCATAACCACTTCCCAAGTAGTGCCTTGATGAAAAAGGATTTTCATTCCAAGCCCTCCCATATCACCTTAACTTTTACCCTCTCTAAAGTAGCAAACAGTTATAAATACAGTTTATACTTGATTTTTGAAATTATTCCTTTTCTGAAGTCTCCTTGGTGGCTAACTATGGTGAAAACCAAAGTTATGGTTCCAAGCATCATATAATTGGATTATTTTCCTTGTCCGGAGCTGCTCTATCTTGTTATACTGCAGTATTTGTTGATAAGCTTTCATTGATATATGTTCACATTCAAAATTTATTTCTTCTGTAGCACTTGGCATATTTCAGTTATTAACACGTCCTGTGTAAACTTTTCAGAATTTCATACCAAGTGTGTTGATGCTTGGCTGACATTATGGAGAACCTTTTGCCCTGTTTGCAAACGGGATGCAAGGACTAGCACTGGCGAACCATCAGCATCAGAATCTACACCATTGCTTTCTTCCAGTCTGCGATCTGGATCTTCAATGTCATCTCTAAGGTCATCATTAGCATCATCAGCAGTAATACATATAGGCACAGGAGCATCTCGATCGCCTTCATTTTCTCGTCCTCAATCAATCTCTAGCTCCCATAACCAGCACTCTCTTTGGTCCTACCACCAGTCACCTCATTTTGCTATAAACCGAAGTTCACTCGACCTTCAAAATGCATCTTCGCAAAGATCTGGTGCATCTTACTTAATTTCATCTAACTCATTGGGTTATCCTTCTCTATCACCTCTTAATTCAAGATATGTGCCTGCATATATTCCTAGTCCTAGCAATCCCTCTTCGAGCTATATTGGATCAGCAAGTCAGCATCATAACCCACTGCACCACAGTGAATCAGTTACAAGCTTTTCACCATTTGCATCAGCTAACTCTCTTCCCGGATGTGAGTCATGATTTAGTTGATAGTTGGAAACACTAGTCGAATTTGTGAAGCGGGGAACACGGTGGTTGGATTGTTCTGACCACAAATTACAGCTGAAGACAATGGAATTGATTCGTATTGGTTGCTGGGGCATCTGGACTCAGGAAATACAACAGGTAACTCTTGATTTCTACATTATTGCTCAACACTTCTGTAATATTGATTTAGTAGTTGGATAGGTTTGGTGTTTATAACTGGAGTTTTTTACTGAGTGTACATGCTCAAAGATGGGTGCTTTTTGCGGTATGCATTGCCCCCTCTTTTGTTTAATTGTTTTTCCTTTTTCTTTTTCTCCTTTTTTCCCGTTTCTCCGATGGTAGTGATGTTTTTAGCTATGTCCATTGATAGATGGTTGAGGCCTTTAGTTGCATGTAAATATCAATGTCAGTGAGATGACTTTCTGTTTTTAGTTTTTGAAAGGAATAAAGAGTATCCAAAAAACCTACTGATTTTTTTTTTGGTTACCAGATATTGTACATCTGAGGTTGAGAAAGAAGTTGTTTCATGAGCAAAACCATGTGATGTTGTTTTGTTGGTTGTGGCTATACACCAAATATAATTTTGAATGTCATTTCCAGTTTTCAAAGATGAATGTTACGATTAGATAAGCAGAATAGACTTAGAATTTGGTCTAGTTGAATTTATAATTATTAAAATTGAATCTTGTTTAGTTCAAAGGTATTTCCTTGAAATTTTAGTGTCCTTCGGGACGGCCCAGTTGGTTTGGAGGTGGTATCCATACTCCATAGTGATGACCTGGGATCGATCCACCCTCAATGCCTTCTGGGTCTGAGCCTGTCGCACAGGGCTTGTCTAGTGTGGTTTACATTCCCTGTGTGGTTTGCAGGCTATTACACAGTGGAGGGTTTACCCAGAGTGCTCAGAGGTTGTGGCAGAAGTTGTACCGGTTGCGGGTTTTCCTGGGGTTCCAAAAATTAGCAAGTAGTTCTACTGGGTAAAACCTGAATTAACCGTGGTGCACTTGCGGGAAACTCCTTGCCGAGGGCCTGTGCACTCCCGGGATTAATCGGGTCTCTTAGAGACTCGGACACCCGGTGCAAATCAAAAAAAAAAAAAAAAAAAAAAAATCGGAAAATTCATGATATTTGTGAAAAAGGTGTGACATAACTTGTGGTTGAACTAATTGCTTTTTAGTTAAGGCTTTCAAAGTCGTTAGCTCAAATGCTGTGTGTGAGAATTTGAAATGATGAATTTTGCGTTAGTAGTTGACTCATTTAAATCATCGTATAATAAGAGTTAAAACTTTGTTTTTGCTTTAGATGCATTAAGAATTATCTATAAATATATAGGCAAAATTTTGGAACTCTTGATTCTTGAAAATACAGTAAATTGCATAAAATACATTATCCTAAGCGATAGAGGATTCAATCAGCGTGAGTATATGTTATACATAAGTGTAGCGACTCCAATCAGGAATGCCAACTAAGAGCACATGGACTATATCGTGGGTCTCCAATTATAGCTGATTTTGTTAGTTATTTTTACTGAATTTGAGCTTTTAATCAATTTATAGGATCTTAATAAGAGAATTCCTGCCAGTAGTAAACAAAATAAATAATAGAAGTCATATTTTACATTAACAAATTCTAGAAAGAAGAATTCATGAGAGGCTGCTTTGAATAATCTTTCTTTTGTCGGTTTATTACCGATGTAACCAATAAAGCAACTTTTTAAGCTATCGACTGTGTGAGACTCAAAATAAAATTTTCAGCCCCGGGTTAGATCTTTTGAAGGAAGGGGGCCTTGACTCCACTTAGATCATGCATAACCATCGTGGTGTAATTTTTTGGGATTTTAACACATTTGGTCTATCGGTCGATCGAAAATAATTATAATCGCTAGTTAAATATTTAAAAATATACA